CATAGTTATTACTTACCTCGGAGTTGATTGTACTCACTTACTTACTTACTTACTCACTTATTATCAGGCCTACTTAAAAGTGCGTGGGGTAAACTTATACAATGAAACTTATACAATGAAACCTCAGGACGCGTCAGTGAATCAAGCAATCGAATATTGTATCATTGTTTGATTTACCTTAGCGTGAACTGATTCGTCTAATTTTAGAACAAGATCAAAACCAATTAAGCGTGAACTTTTCACAAAGTCTCTCGAAGAAAAATAATACGCACGAAAGCTTAGATGTGTAAACTGATTTATTTTTTGGTATTTCAACAAACTCAATTAAGTCTTAGATTATAACTATTTATGCCAAGGAGGCACAAAATTCCGGCTACCTTGAAGAGTAGAAAAAAAAGTGTAAAAATTGCACGCTTGGGTTATGGTAAAATACGTTAGGGAAATTCTCTCTTGGTTAGGGTATAACGCAGAATTTGTGAAATTACAATTGTTTTTCCAATTTTCATAGCTGTTATTATGACAACACGCTAAATTTCTGAAACTGATACACCGCAAGTTATGTGATTGAATTTTTTAGGGATAGTGTCCAAGAGGGCATAACTGATAAATACACCCACGGGGATTGTTACCACTTGCAAACATTGAATTCCCTGAAGTTTTCCCGGAGGTAAATGAATTTCTTAGGGACCGTGCCCTTCTACATACGTAAAGAATTAGCTTGTGTACAGACCCCCCTTCCCCCTCCCTTCGGGGATGGGGGTCTGCACACAGGCTAGTAAAGAATAAATCAAGAGCCATAATGGGACAAAAAACACTGTCACCGACCTATCTTAAACTGTAATGTGTTTATTTTATGGCTCTTGAATGAATATAATTTTACAGAACGTATACTGGGATTGCCAAGTATTACGAAAATTCTGACAACCAATCAAAAACTAGAGCGTTCGGGAAAACTGCGTGTTTTCATTTAGACGGAAACGAGAGCCAAATAGGAAAAAAAACGAATTAAATGTAGAAGGAGGAAATCTCATATGCAAAGAATATAATATGCCACTATTAAAAAAGTTTCTGCAACAAAGTTCTTATTCAATCAACAATTCTAATAATACTAATTCAAGATAAACAGACAATCAAAAAACAATGTCGAAATGAAACAAAACAACAACAACAATACAAAAACATGATATCCGTTTTAAATTTGTTGAAACGTTGTAAATTTATTTTATTTTTCCGTTACAAGGACATCAGTGAAGGTTTGCATTAGCTCGGAAAATTAAGTTATTGTTCTTTCTACCTCTTCATCAGTTTACGAGTATTTCCGTTACGAAAGCATTTTTAAATCTTTACCATACAATAGCAAGTGTTCTAGTTCTTCTAATTACGTTTCTACAGCTAACTTAAAATTCTTCGAATGTATTGTTTAAGTCTCAGCCTGGCTAACGTGGTATCATAATTATCACGTCTCAGTAAATGTTTCTGAACAGCTGCCTCCATTGCTTCGTTAAAGCCTCTCTTCACAAGATCCTGCTGAAGGAAGAAAATTCATGCAAACTAAGTGAGGATTTCTTGAACATCATCTTTGTTTTTCTTTTTCGTTTTTTCTTTGTTTTGTTTTTCTCGATTATGTGTTAATAGGCCATTTGCACGATGGCGTCATTTTACTACTACGACCAGAATCCTTTACGTTTTTCTTTTCGTATTTAAATTTGGTAATCCCAGCGAGATTTAAATGACAAAAGCCGTAATTTGCACAAGAAAGGAAAACCCTGAAGGATTCTAGTCGTAGTAGTAAATGATGTCATCGTGCAAATGGCCCATTGGCCAAAAAAATTGGGAGAATAGAGCAAACATAGACTTCCCAAGCGTTACTACAACTATGTAAAACTACAAGTTGACCAATATGATTGCAGCACTTAGAAGTTATAACATCAAAACTGTAATCGCAGCTGCCTTTGCCGCGACGATTGTAAGGTTCGTCGTCGTCGTTTTCCTCTGGCCCTCGCCTTTTGTTGTGCTGACTGTCACGACAATAGTAGCAGGCACTCCTTTAATTTTCTTCTCATCTGGTCTTCTTCCTGCTGAACTATCAATTCGTCCTCTTCCCAGCATTATGCAGCCTAGGAAAACGATGACAAAGGAAACAAAGGCCAAGAAGGCCAACTCTGACTCAGAAAACATTCTATTCCAGGTTATAATCTCTTATAAGCCGGCACACGAAGTGGCTCTGTGGCTTATTGCTGTGCATCTTATACCGCGCAACACTCGTTAATTATTCATTAACCTCAACTTGTTATTAGCTCATGTCACTGCGGGCGGAGGCGCAGGTGCTGTAGTTACCGCGGGGGATGATAAATAAATTGTAAAAATTTCCGCGGTCAGGATATATTTAATGTTTTGAACTCAAACGGACACTTGCGGTAGGGTGACTAAAACGGTTTCAAAACTAAAAGTGTGGACGCGAGTTTGTTTTAAACGAAAAAAATATACTTTTTTAAAAGATATGGGAACATGCGGAAGGGGCGTAAAGCCAGTTGGGTTTCCTATGTTCATTTCTTTGTTAATTTCCTTACATGTAAGCTAAGCAGTTAAATACTGTGAAACTGCCAATGGCGCATTGTTACTAACACAATCGTTTTTCTTTTCCATTCAGTTAATGTCAATTTCACTTGAAAATTTTTCACAAAGGCGCGAAATTTTATTAAATCATTAAAATGAACTGAAAAAGTTAGACGTCCCTGAATAAATTAACAATTCTGTAGCAATTATTGATGAGTTCATTCCTGTATAATTCCTTACTGAAGTACTTCATGTGTCTTTTTTATGTCTATGATCCGTTCTAAACGTCCGCTTGGTCACGTTGAGACCATCAATTTCCGAGCACTCAAGAACAGAGGAATGAAATTGCCTGAAATGACTTTTCAGGCATTTAAAGGCGCGACGGGCAACACGCGCGTACTAGTGTTTTACAGGTATCACAGGGAAAATCATTGACTCTTACGCGGCCTTGATTTTATCGGTGAGAAATCTTTTACTATGCCTGTGCCATTTGATTCAGTTTACTTTCATTTGATAAACAATTTTATAACCAGTCGGAAAGTATTCCAAGAATTATCGGTTTGACCCAGTAAGCGTGTGATGTACTTCCCACTTTCGCCTCAAAAAAAATTTCCGTCAGTTTATTTAATGTAAAGCTTTGTTTTGTGTTTGTTTTTTGTGTTTGTTTGTTTTTTTCTTTTCGCGGCCGTTTTCGGTAATTAAATGAAAGTAATTTGTGCAAATAGTAAAAGCGATTCCGTGATGAAATATTCAAGTCCTGAGTTTTGCTTTCCATTTGACGAAACCTAAGACCGGTTTGCTTATGTGAAGAGAAAACATCCTGTAAGGGCTCGATTTTTAATTAGGGGATTCCCCGCCAATAACAGACAGTCTCCGATTGGCTATATAAAGTAACTGACCCGTGAAGAGCTGTCATTAATTAAATGTTCGAATGCATTGTTTAAAGTGCGATATGCGATACATGCAAACAAAAGGCGCAAACATGCAAATCGAAAACTTAACTTGATATTCTAAACAAGACAGTTAAGCCATCTTCATCACTTTCTATGTCAAGAAGAAAAAAATAAACGGCAACGGGGACTGGAATAAGCAAAAATAACATCGCATTTACTCAGTCGTACTGGTTGACAAGCGTATCTACTTCGTCATTTTTTAAGGCAAACAACTTCAATCGCTACTTTGAATTTTGTTGACCCTGTCGCAGCCTATTCGTTAGCCGGAAGGTTAAAACACTTTCACCGTTTGACGCTTGTTCTTTGTCTGTTTTAAAACCACTTGACAATTTCAGCGCGTGCCAACAGGTCATGCAACTGACTGAAGTATTTTGTCGTTAAGCATTGAAGGGGCGCTAATGAGTAGCCTGCGTAGCAAGCGTTTCCGTGCTGTTTCGGAGCAAAGACCGTGTGAGAAGATTTATGAAACGAATTGAAGTCAGTTTAAAACATAAAAGAAGGACGCCCAGCCTTCCCACTCGGTTTCCTAGGTGTACGAAAGAGCAGGGAGAATATCTGCATCTTTCGCGGTCGTGAATTTGTCAGTGAGAAAACTTTTAACCGTGAAATTTCCTTAAAAGCATTAAGTTTAGATCATTTTAATATAGTAAACAATTTACCTTACCGAGTTGACTTTGTAAGCGTGTGATTCTCTCCTCTAATCAGTAAATTTCAGTTTTATTTGATGTAAAGCGCTCTCTTTGATTTTTCGTTTAACTGCTATGTAAACAGACCCACATTTTCAAGAACAACGCTCGAAACACGAACGAAACTGCAGAGAAGCTTACGCATGCAAATCGATGTTATATGATTGACCTTTCATGAATTCATTCTGGTGACGATCAGACGTTGAAAAAAGGGGCAGTATAGGAAGCTTAGATGACGGTAGAAGACTTCAGGATAATTCAAAAAATAACTCTAAACACAGATAAGATAAGAGATTAAAGATAGGGAAAATGGTAGAATCTCCCGTTCTTCTTAAATATTCTCTTCTTTCGAAGTAGCTGTCCTCTGGGTTTCCAAGGAGAGTGTTTCACATTGACGTACCCTGATACTAATAGTACATATATGTTGTCCACTGCTTTGCGTTTTTTTATACTTTATTGAACCCGATGAAGAGCACATTAATTTTAATTTCCAGCTAAGTTTTACCACATCTAGCGACTCATTCAGTACTTTAATTTTCAAGCTTTATAAATTGTTTGTAGAAGGAAATGAAATAGTATGTCCTGGTCCAATATAATTCCTGCAGGAGGCCGTCATTGTCTTGTCTCTCAATACGCGCCACTTTAAAAGTTTCTCTTTAAATGATCCTGGAAGAAACGAATGCGCGCAAAGAAGATCAGAATGAACAGAACATGTTCTTAATTAATTTTTCTTTTCGCTTAGGTCCTTGGTCTTTGTCCTAATGCTCACTAATTAAATTTACACTGTCTAGTAACTTTAAATATCCTACCTGAATAACGTGCCACGACTGTTGTAAGATTCGTCGTCGTCATTTTCTTCTGGGGGCCGCTTATTCTTGTTCTGACCGTTAAGGCTGCAGTGGTTACATTTCACTCGTTTTTGTTTCTTCTTGTTTGGCCTTCTTACTGGAGGGCTGTCTCTTCGTCCTCTTCCCAGTATTAAACAGCCCAGTGTAACGATGAAAACAAAGGCCAGAAAGGCCAGCTCTGATTCAGAAAACATTCAGGTTGCTTATTTTGTTTTTGATAGAAGCAAGCTCCTTCACCTCCAGTGAACTCCCACGTGTGGCGAGTTAATGTGAGGGTTTGTGTCTTATGAAGTCTTTGCCTGTATCTCAGACGTCGTCTGATACCAGACCATCTGCCTGCGCCCATACCAAAGTCAATACCTAATTGGCTGCTCCCGTTTGTGTTGACGCTCATGCCGGTGTGCTTGTGGGCCCATTAACAATAATGCTAATAATTGGCTGCTCCCGTTTGTTTTGACACTCGTGCCAGGGTGCTTGTGGGCCCCATTAACAATGGCTTATGTAAGCTTATGTAGTCTTTGACTGTATTTTAAATACTGGTATAATTGAACAATAAGAGTGAAGGTTACGCAAATGGTATTGATCATTTAGGGCCTGTTTACATGGAGTGGGGGACCCCGGTCTAGTGGGGTTGGTTTCTTTTGTTTCCACGCTCTGGAGGACACAAAACAAAAGAAACCTACCCCACTAGACCGGGGTCCCCCACTCCATGTAAACAGGGTCTAATATCACTTCCCTGAATAATTATGTCACATGGCGAGGTCTTCTAAGCGTGAAGCTTTTGTACTTAATGCTTGCATTTTTCGAGCATTTTAGTGAAGTAAAAGCATGAAGAAGCATTCGAGTGTTTTAGTGGAATTTTCTGAAAATACATATGAATTAAATTTTTTCCGAGAAAATGAAAATGAAAGCAATTTTTGAGAGAAAATGTTCGCTTTAATTCAAAATTCCAAAAAAGACGGATAAAATGTCTTGGACGAATCTAATTCTTCAGACGAATTTAACCGATTCATTTATACGTCGCATAATCGTCGAATTTGACTGCATGGGAGGCTTTGAATAAACCAATTCCGATATATTAAGATTCATACTTGGCTGCGAGTTTTAAGAGGAAAGAACTCAGCGCGCTTTTTCTGTTAGCTTTTTTGTCCTTTAATAGCCCCAAAAGCATAAATAACTCACTAACTCGTGCTGACAATTTGCATGAAAAAAGAGTTATAATTAGTTCCAATGTAGCCATAGAAACGTTGGGAACCTGCACGTTAAAAATTGATTTAACTTGCCATGCCTCAGGGATTAAACCATGGTAGTATTGAGCACTGACTAATTATAAGCAATAGTTCTGTGAAACTGTGAATGGCGCATTAACATTTCCCATCACAAGGCTAATTTCACTGAGTCAAACATTTTTCTTTTTAATTCGGTCGATGTCAGTTTCACTCGGAATTTTTGCGAAAGGCCTTATTAAATCATTTAAATGAAGTAGTTACACTTACCTTAATGAAACTCTTAGCAGCTAACTTAAATTGATGAGCTCAGTCCTATATAATTCCGTACTGAAGTGTTTCACGTATTTTTTAAATGTCTATAATCAGTTCTAACGTCAGCTAGGCCACAGGCCGTATGTCGATTCCAGTACTTGTCAGCGGGTGTTATATTTGCTTAAGCATTTAAAGGCGCGAAGGGCAACACGCGCGTCTTAAGATGAAAGCGGATTCAAGTTAGGTAAGAAAGAAAGCTTCCCAATGTTTTAAAAGTGTTATTGCCTATACTTGGAAAATCTTTGAATCTTACGCGGCCGTGATTTTGTTAGTGAGAAATGTTTTAGTTTGCCTGTTCCATTTGCTTTAGTTTATTTTTATTAGCCGAACAATTTTATAACCAGTCGGAAAGAACTCCCAAAACTATCGGTTTGACCCAGTAAGCGTGTGATCTACCTCGCACTTTCACTTCCAATTTCAGTCAGTATATTTAACGTAGAGCCTTGTTTTGTTTTGTGTGTTTTGTTTTGTTTTGTTTGTTTGTTTGTTTTCGTTTTCGGTAAATAGAACTAATTTGTGCAAATGGTAAACGCGATTCCGTAATGAAAATTTCAAGTACTGAGTGTTGCTTTTCATAAGCGACCGGTTTTGCCCATGTGAACAGAAAACAACCTAGAAGGCCTCGATTTTTATTAGGCCGGGATTCCCCGCCAATAACATACAGTCTAAAATTGGTCAATTTACTGACCCGGCAAAAACTGTCAGTAAATGTTATAATGCACTAATACGTTTACTAGACCCTTACTTTTATGCTACAAAGCCCTATGCGATACATACAAAAAAAATGCTCAAAACATGCGAATCGGAAATTTAATTGCTATTTTAAAAACAAAACAGTTAAGCCATCTTCATCACTTCATCACGGTTACAGTTTATTCGTTTGCGTTTCTTCTTGTTTGGCCTTCTTACTGGAGGAATGTCTCTTCGTCTTCTTCCCAGCATGAAACAGCCAAGTGTAACGATAAAAACAAAGGCCAAAAAGACCAGCTCTGACTCAGAAAACATTAAGTTTGCGTATTTTGTTTTCTATAGAAGCGAGTTCCTTCACCTCCAATATCCTCTTACTTGTGGCACGCAAAAGCTGTCGGTACGTGTCATATGTACTCGTTGAATTAAAACAGTGACCCGAACGAATGACTTTATTGGCTGCTTCTGTTTGTTTACCAAATAAAATATACCACCCTCATTCAATCATTTTCTAATGAAGGTTCTTCCGTGTTAATAGAGTTCTAAAGTGATGACATCATAAAAATTAAATTTGTTAAACACGCATGGGATTTGCTAAACACGCATGGGATTTGCTAAACAGGCATGGGATTTGCTAAACACGCATGGAATTTGTTAAACACGCATGGGATTTGTCAAGAAAATTTTTGGCTTTCCTACATTACGCTGAACAAGGAAACGAGGAGCCGTTAAATACGCTAATTTGGTACCGCTTAACTAAACTTTTCGAACCTCTGTGCTTTCGTATAGAGGCTACCTTCAAGAAGCCAAGCCAGTTTTAGATGAATGTCTAAATGTGTGATTTAACTAGGATTTGGAGATATACCGACATGTTAAATTTTGCCGTCAAAAATAAGTAGTAAACTTAAGTTTCAGTCGTTATCGTGAAAACCTATTCCTCATTGAATTATTTCAGTTCAACAATTCTCACTTTTACCCTGAAAGTATCTTTACTGAACTGAACAGGAGTTTTTCTGTTGATGGGAAGTGTTCAAATTGCCCCGTGTGATTTTGTATGCAAACGCGAGTAAAGTTCATGTGGGTGGATTTCAGATTTTAAATAAGGCCATTTTGAGACTCCGACTTTTAAACTTGGCTAACAGGCTTTCGGTGGAATCAATTAACCTCACGTTTTTTATCTATCTAAATACTAAGCCAGTTGTGTTGTGGACTCGGGCGCCAACTTATGACAAAAGCAAGGACAAAAAGGAAGGCTCTTAGTAACTATTGCTGCATTCAAAATTATATTGATTTAAGGGTAGGAATGTTAAAAAACATTTCACCTGGATATATTTCCTTGACGGGTATAAGGTTCGTTGTCATCGTTTTCTTCGGGTTGCCGCTTATTCTTGCGCTGATTGATCATACAATGGGGGCATGTCTTTCTTTTGAGTTACTTTTTGTTTTTAATTGTTGCTGCTGTAGAGTCATCTCCTCTCCTTTTTCTTCGTAGCAATATGCAGCCCAGGATAAAAAAGGAAGCAAATACCAACAATGCCAATTCTGACTCAAAAAACATGAAGTCTTCTTATTTTGTTTTGTTTTTTGGCTTTTTGATAGAATCGAGCTCCTTCACTGCTGATTAACTCTCACACAAATTGTCTTTTGGCCGCGTTCTGATAATTTTTAAACATGAAGCGCACTGGTCAATCCACAAGCTGGAAACAGCCAACCATAAGCTCATTCGAAACCGCGAATGTTGAAACTATTATTTTCTCTTTTTACGCAGACGTCATCGCCTTCGGATCTTAAGGAATTTTTTTTTTCAGGATGACTGCATTTCACGAATGAGTGCTTCGATTTCAAAACCATTTAAAACGATATTTGGCAAGGGAAAGGCGGAACAAACACCAGTCATAATAGTAATACAATCAATTCTCTTTTCATCTCTCAATTACATCTTGCGGTCTAAGTTGGAAAAACAAACCATCTCTAAGCCATTTAGATCAGCAAAGTTGACAGTTAGTACACGCCTGCCACTAGCCAACTAACACAAAGACAAAGCAATGATAACGTTGACACTCGACAAAGCAATCTCACATCATTCTGCTAGAAGTGCGTTTACAGTTGCGAAGCTTCACCAACAAGTTACAAGTGTGATCGAGTTCCGTTTTAATATAACGCTGAGGTAGTGAAGTTAGTACGGTATATTGAAGTATCGGAGGTTTGAATACAAGGATATCGGTTTTCGATAAGAAGGAGCTAACTTAGCTTTCTCAGGACACTGACAATGTACCGCTCTAAGGAGTTTGTTATAAAATGACCAATTAGATAGTGATGCTTGTAAAACTGGAGTGGTCAGAAAAAACTCGATAAACAGCGGTAATCAGCTTTTTCACGGACCCTCTATTTTCTCTCTAGAGATCGTCGAGCGCGCGTATGGGGACTTATTGACTTCAAGCGCAAGTTGTTTCTTTTTCTTTCTCGCGTGCTCGTAAATTATTCAAAAGAAAAAGAAAACAATGTCTGTGTACAGGTCAAGCGGAAACATCTGCGAGCAGTGTAGTGTTTTAGCAGCCGTCAGAATTTGTTCGTTGAATGTTATTCCGTAAATGTCAATACAAGCGAAGGCAACTCACTCATAAAACTGCGCACAAAAGAAACCAAACAAATCCATTTGATCGTGAACTGATTTGTCCTTTGTACGATTTCAGTATCTGTTTGAAGCCTTGAAGGCAACTCACTCATGCAACCAAACAAAACCAATTAAGCTTGAACTGCTTCTTTCTTCGCACGAATTCAGTATGTTTTTTTCTTTCTTAAGTCTTTATTGAATGTACAACTAAAAATACATACCTATATTTACATGTTTAATATTATTAGTTAAAAAAAGTAAAAGTATATTTAAAATGCAGTCTATTAATAAAACTAGCTTCAAAACGTTCCGTGTTAACACAGGGTAGTAGGCTTGTTTGAGTTCTCAGACGGTTCGAAGATTCTTAGTCTGCGGGCAACAAATTTACAGCGGATAAGTAGGTAGGCAGCTAATCCTCTAGGAGATTGACCTGTCTGTTTTTTTCAAGCAAATCGTATATATCTATAGCATAGAATATAAAACGGCGTTTATGACATCTGCTAAGGAACTGCTGCTACCGGTAAACTATACGAAATTTTAGGTAAAACTAAAGACTGAAATATATGTCGATCAATTTCCAGTTGGTTTTATCCATCCTTCCTTAAGCTCCTTAACACATAGAGGCACTTACTCGCTTCGAAGAGTTTTCGTTTAATGTGTTCTGTAAATCTGCCATTGCCCTGAAAAGTCACTCCGAGTAGCATTAGAAGTTCGGCCTGCTCTATATTACCAATAGGATTAGGATTTGCTTGTCCTTTCTTCTTCAAAACTATTATTTACACTTGTTTAGATTGCGAGGGATATAGTTATTACTTGACCAGCTAATAAGGTATTGCGAAATTACATCACTAGCACAATCAGTTCCGGCCTTATTTACAATAACTTGCATCGTAGTATCATCGGCATATTTACTAAGAGATTAGTATCAGGACAGTTTACAAGATCGAGATCATTAGTATGTTTTTGAAGGCAACTTACTTATAATGGAACCAAAGAAAACCAATTAAGCGTGAAATGCTTCTTTCTTGGCATGAATTCAGTATGTTTTTGAAGGCAACTTACTTATAAAGGAACCAAACGAAACCAATTAAGCGCAAACTGAGGAAAACTCGTTCGTTCCTCGTAACAATGCTTGGTGTCGACTCTTGAAATCGCCAGCGTTCGAAAACTTATCACAATTTTATCAATGAAACCATCTTATTTTCTTTTTACAACGACTTCCTCAATTTATTCTTGCATTTTTGTCTTGGTTTAGGGGCCCATCAAACATCGTTTAGCTAAACTAAGCTATTATTAGTGAGTTGCGTGTTAATTATCATGTACCTTCAAATTTTCCACAGCGTCAGTGAATAGGCTCTTATCGCTGTTTTAGTTAAAATATCATCACTACGATAAAAGTCACACGTTTTCATTGTACAACAACTTACTTTATTTAACAGTAATTCATTCCTGTGCTGAAAACTCCGGTAATAATGAAGGACAGAAAAGAAAGGCGAAATTTTCCTCCATGTCTCGCGGGTTTCGCTGCGCCGAACGCGGTAGGTTTTGACTCACCGGGTTGGATTGATCCGTCGATCACTCGTCACGATTTCCCTTTATAGTACGAAGCCTCTGCCAAAAAAAGTAAGTACCAATCTATGTTTTCGGGAAACTAAACAGTTTCCTTTTAAACGGGGTCCTTCTTGCACAAACAGACTATCAATCTGAATGAGAGAAAATGTTAGCCGACGCCTCCAAAGCTGCCTCTCGCTTTCCCACTGTTAGAATCACTTTTTACAGATTGACCAATGAAATCACAGATGAGATTGACCAATCAGACAAAAGTCTCCTTTGTTTCCTCGTACGAATTTAGTGTTCCGCATTTGCACTTTCTCTATTTCCTTATAACGACCTAGGACTGATATGCACGAGGAAACAAAGTTGGTAAAGAATGCACGCCTGCCACGAGCTAAGCGGCACAAACTATGTTATTCGGAAATTTTAGATTTAGAAGAAATTAATAAAAACGAAAAAGAATAGGAGATTACTAGTTTATTTATGGTTCAACTGTTGCGTTTTTCTTCTTCATCAGTCTAATTTCCAGTATTACAGTTATGTTATATGGGAGCAATTGTTATTTCGAAGGCATTGTTGATTCTTTGTAGTTGAAGAAGTTACATTTTCTAAGTTACCATTTTGCAGCTTATTCCAAAAAAATTCCTGGGTGATGTCTCCCGTCCGTATTGTCAGCCATCATTCGTAAACAAGTACATTAGCAATAAATCTCTCTTCACATGATCCTAGAAGAATAAAATGTATAACTTGATATTTTTCAACGGTAAATAAAATGCTTCGTTATGGAAAAAAAGTTCGGATGTAATCACCTTTCCTTTTCTTACTATTTTCAATTGTATTTATTTATTTATTGCGATATCGTCACGGTAAAAGGGAAGGGTATCAATTGTCATTACTTCAAAATGGTAAATTAACGGCAGCAACATTACTAAGTCTCACCGGAATATTATGCCACGAGGATTGTAAGGTTCTTCGTCGTCATTTTCGTCAGGTTCTCGTCGACTCCTGTACGGATGGTCTCGGCAGTGTCTTCGTGTCGCTCTTTTGCGCCCCTTTCTCTTCTTTTTTGTTTTCTTTACTGTTAAGGTATTGTTTCCGCTTCCCAGCAATGGCATCAAGAAGCCCAAAGCAAAAATGAAGATGAAGGCCA